CGTATTGCTGCTTCACACGTACCATTTTCGACGAAACGGTTCCAAATTCGTTTTACACTATACCTGGAAAACTTGAATTTATCGGCAGTGCGCTGTACCACTCCTCTAGGAATATAACCACTTGACTTGTCACCCCTATTTTCACTGATGTCGTTCACTAGGAGAAATCCAAGGTCTCCACTGACAGGTTTGCCAGAACGATATTCTCTCCCAAGCTGATTCACCTGCATTTCTACGATTGGGGAAATGGAAACTTGCGTGAAATGGGGAAACTGTCATGGGTAAAATCTCTCTCTCGGGGTTCTCCACACGTGTCAGGGGGGAAACTCGTCTCGTCTCTCTATCTCGTCCCCTTGAGGTACGGGATCGGGAAAGTCACTTTAACTTTACAGTCAAATAAGGCACACACAACGAAATACGTTTCAGCTCTCGTCTTAGTCGATCTATCGAGCACTCTATAAGACACAGCGCCCTGGGGAAAAGTCCCCAAGACTCTCGCAAGGCTGACCCAAGACTCTCTTAGACTGCGTCAAGGCTCGCCCCAAGTCTCTCCAGGACTCTCGACTGCCCAGGACTGCATTCTCTCTCTCTTCTGCGTCTATCGTGCTGTGTTCGTCAAGACCAACTCAAACTCTCTTTATTCATTTTCAAAACTCTGACCAATTACAATGCAGTAAAAAGACTCTAGGGTGTAACCTTCAATCATAAAGCCAATCACACTAAGTACTGAATACGTCATATCTTTTGATTAATCGTTCACTACATTAATAACTACGGATGTCAGAATAGCGACGGTATCTTGTAATTAGTTCCAAACCACTGAGCCAAGTTCCGTCCAAAACTTCAAATAGACCTAAACGATGACAGACATAACACAGCAATTCAGCTAATAATCAGTTAATTAAGTCGGTTAACAGATACGCGAAAACAAATTCATGACACAGCCTCGACCCCATACAGGCCGTTCATAACCAGTATCTTCCTCACAGTTTTACTTTAACTATCAGTTGTAAAGAACAACATTTAAACAATTCAAGGTCAAGTTTGTTTAACGAGTGAAGTGATGCAATTAGGGCCATAATAGTTGGTGAGTCGTTGAATACGGGATGACGGGATTGTATAACAATTATGTGGCATCGTTCCGCGTTTGACAACACCTGATATTGTGGTATTTGTGCAATTTCTTGTATTTTGAGGAAAAAGTAATGGGGAAATTCAATTTTACAGAGTATTACCCCTACAGAAAGTACCATAAGGAATATTGTCAGATTTGATCCGATTTTCATGTAAACCTATGTATGCTAATTAGCTCATTTGCATATATATTACGCGATATGTATCCCCCCAGGGCAACAGTAACTTATCACTACCAGAATTAGAGGTTTTTATGACGTTATAGCTTTACATTATCGCACGATAATGTGAGTGTATATTTGTAAGTAAACACAAATCATTAAAATTCAAGTAAATTTATTTAATTCTGATGGTGGTAGTTGTGATAACAATCATGAATCCCCAAAGCGATATTTTGGATTCGGGGGAGAGTCTAGACACGATAATATGTTCGGTCTCACCTCACAAATGATCTTGACTTAG